ACGTTGACATTTTGTCACTGTATCTTGAAAATTTCTTCTCCATATTATTTCAATATCTATTACTAACAATTTCTGGCTTTTAACTCACCCATATGTAAGTTAATAATAAAACATACGCTGAATTTTCCTCTAATGGAAATACAATCGTCAGATACAGATAAATTTCATACCTGTAACTCATCTTGAAGCTTACTGAGCTTTTTACTAAGTGAATCTTCATTATCCTTAAGTTCTTTATTTGACCTTTGATCTTTTTTGGTTTCCAGATCTTTGTACCTTTCTTTCAATTTCTCCAATTTTGATTTTCATTTTTTCATTTCATCATCCTGTTAATCGTCGATTGCCTCGAGCAGGCCCCAGTAACGTCTCTTTCATCCTAGCCCTGAGATTATATTCACGGCTCTTTAGGAGAATGAGACCCATCATTGTTACTGGTATTTGGCATATTTGGTAGGCCACGGGGAGTTTGCCAGACTCTGCCCTGTGGGCAGGCTACATTCGATAGCCTGCAAGTTTGTCCAAAGTAGGAATGAGATAATAGGATTTTGATTTAAAAACAAAATTGTTTTAAAATACACGTGGGATACAGACAAGAAATCACCAGAGCCCAGAAGAAGAGACCAAGGAGAACTGATACAACTGATACAACTCCCAGAGCTACAAGTTAAGTTTTTAGGGAAGAACAACTACTACAAGGAACTTTCAGGTACCCACTACATAGTGTTCAGGTATATTATATTTTAAAATATGCCAATTTTAAAAAAAATTATTACTTTTTTGTCTTTGGGCACTACTTGGTAGTGCTGAGGGATGATTTCTGACTGTGTCCAGGGATCACTGCTGGTGGGGCTTGGGGGTACCATATGGGATGCTGGGGATCAAACCCAGGTCAGCTGTGTGCATGGCAAGAGCCCTACACACTATAGACATATTGCTCCAGCTCCCAATATACATGCCAATATTATAAAAAACAGCCTGTAATTCTCAAAAAAAAGTGATGCATTGAGTGATATGATCATACTTTTGATTGATCTAAACATTTAAGATGATATAAAGAATGGGACAGAGGTGAGACGTAGTTGAAAAATAATTCTTATTGACAGAAACACTGCAACTTAATATTGTATCTTGAAAATTTCCTCTCCAGGGGCTGGAGCGATAGCACAGCGGGCAGGGCGTTTGCCTTGCATGCGGCCAACCCGGGTTCGATTCCCAGCATCCCAATGGTCCCCTGAGCACCGCCAGGAGTAATTCCTGAGTGCAGAGCCAAGAGTAATCACCTGTGCATTGCCGGGTGGGACCCCCCCCAAAAGCAAATACATAAATTAATTAAATTGAATTTTAAAAAAGCCAAACTTAAAAAAAAAGTCCAAATCTTGACTGAGGAACCCACTTCGGGGAAACCTCCCTGAGAAATTAACCCAAGATGTATAGAGAGCCCTAATGAGAGATGTTTGGTTGGCCCTGTGATATTTAAGCCAGTGAAAAATAAATAAATTAAAAAAATTTTTCTCTTCATATTATTTCAATATGTATTAAATATTTGTAACTATATACTAACAATTTCTAGCTCTTAAATCACCCACATTTAAGTTAATAATAAAACATTCACTGAATTTTCCTCTAATAGTCAAATACAGATAAAAAAAATCATACCTATAACTCATTTTGAAGCTTACTGAGCTTTTGACACTTATTGTGTCTGTGTCCTCATCTTTTTTTTTAATATACAATTTTACTTAGATAAAACTATTTTAGGGGCAAAAGTGATACTACAGCAAGTAGGGTGCTTGCCTTGCATGTGGCTGACCTAGGTTCAAAAAAATTAGGGGAGAATATTTTTTAGAAACAGTACTAATACATACTATCCAGATAATTGACTTTTTGAGTTCTAAAATTAAAATGTAATTTGATTAACTATAAAAAATGTGAATTCCATATAGGTAGAAACTTTGATTTGTTCGTTACTGAATCCTCAATACTGACAAATGCCGAAAACAATAGATCAAATAAATATCAGCTGTACAGATAGATACAAGAATGGTGGCAAAAATAAAAAGGAAAACAAATTTTTAAACAAAAAAAACTGAGCATAAATCATGAAACTTAGAAAAACTGTTACTTTTGACAGGATTATTTTGACAAAGCTATTATTTTTAATACTAACATTAAAAAACTAAGACTTTTTTCTCCTAAAAACACTTTTAGCCCCAATCTTAAAAAATAAATCACAGGAATATTTTTCCTTTAAATTTGTTCAATTTTTGGTATTTTTTGCCAGACCTGGTGGTGCTATTTCTGGCTCTATGCATGGGGAATCATGTGTTGCCAGACTGAACTGGGGCAAGCCCCTTTAGCCATTTCCCTGACATGTAATTATTTCTTCTTCAAAATTGTCATTGCTGAATACTTATTACTTTTATAGTTGCTATTTCTGCTCTTCTAGAATGACAGTGCCACAAGTCTTACTAAAGTTGTTTCTGGGGACAGGAGTGATAGTACAGGTAGGGTACTATCTGTACTACCGCCGTACTAGAGGGTAGGGTGTTTGCCTGCACGCGCTGACCTGGGTTTGATTCTCAGCATCCCCCATGGTTCCCTGAGCACCGCCTGTAGTAATCCTTAAGTGCAGAGCCAGGAGTATCCCCTGTGCATCACTGACTGTGACCCAAACAGTAAAAAAAAAGTTGTTTCTGGGTGCCAGAGTGGATAGGGTGCTTTCCAGGTTGACCCAGGTTCAATACCCGGTACCCCATTTAGTTTCCTCAGCTCTATCAGGAATAATTCCTGAGTGTAAAGCCAGGAGTAATCCCTAAGCATCACCAGTGTAGCTGAACTCCTACCCCCTGAAAAAAAAGTGACATTAAAAATGACACAAATCTTCAAATATGATTCCCTTAATTAAAGGCACATAAAGAAGTTAAAACAAAAGAATTACAACAAATCGTATACGTGCTTTGCTGTGCCTCATTCCATTGACACCAGACTGCCAAGAGTGCTAATAAAACAGAATTCCTTTAAGGATTATTAAAGAAGTCTTAATTTTATGTAATTCATTTCCTTCATAAGCATGATTTACAAACAGATTCATACTATGTTACTAATCATAAATTTATTCAAAGACACTCCTTTATTTTTTAAATTATTTTTTGGTACTGGGGCCACACACCAAAATTGGAATTTACTCCTGACTCTGTGATCAGAAATCACTACTTGCGAAGTTTGGGGAACATATAGAATGCTGAGGATTGAACCGGAGTCAGCTGCATGCAAAACAAATGTCCTCCCCACTCTGGCCCCCGAACCCTTTCTTTATCTTTACATTTCACACTCAATTAGAAGCACAGACTTTATATTTCACTTAAAATTAATAAAGTGGCAATACTAACTAATAACCATCACCTAAAATTTTATTTATTTATTTATTTAGCTTTTTGGGTCACGCCCGGCGATGCTCAGGGGTTACTCCTGGCTCTGCACTCAGGAATTACTCCTGGCAGTGCTCAGGGGACCATATGGGATGCTGGGAATCGAACCCGAGTCGGTGGTGCATGACAAACGCCCTGCCTGCTGTGCTATAGCTCCAGCCCCACCTATAATTTTAAATGTAGGGTCAGTAAAGGGAAAAAAAAGATAATGTTATTGCCTCCAAATAACATATCACAAAACAATTCAGAAATATGCAACAAATCAAACAACTTCAATACATTTAAGAGGTAGATATCTTGGACTGGAGACACAGTATAGAAGGTAAGGTGCTCTGCCTTGTAAGAAGCTGACAAGGATTTGATCTCCAGCATGGAAGATAGTCTTCTAGTATCACCAGGAGTGAGTCAGGAGCACACCAGGGTGTGGCCCCAAAACAAAAACAAAAACAAAAGTGAAAAAGTAAAAGAGATAGCTATCCCTATGTGTTATCACAGTAGAATAAATGACTGTCAAATGGACAATCAATTATTTACCATCAGAAAGAGAATCACTTAGAACAATAATGTTCTGGAATACTTTCAAGGAGGAAAGGTTTAGAGAATAAATGTTCTTGAGAGAACATATGAAAATAAGTGGTAAGTGCAAAGAAGAACATCACACACTAGAGACAAAAATGACACATAAAGGTCAGGCAAAACAATGGATGAGAAATATTTCGTGATAGTTTGCACTTATTTCCTATCTGTATACCAGTTACATTTAAGACAGTACAGGACAGGAAAGACAGAACAGGGGTTAATGCGCTTGCTTCACATGTGGCTAATTCTGATTTGGTCCCCGGTACCTCATATAGTCCCAGAAGTCCCTCCAGGAGGGATTCCTGAGCACAGTAAGGTGTAAGTCCCGAGCACAGCCACGAATGGCTCCCAAGTTTGTTTTTTTTTCTTTAAAAACAAAACAAAACTATAACGGATTAGGGAGGACCATAATCCAACAGGCAATGTCCTTTTAAGAAGGGGTAGGGGCCATGGCCCAGTGGTGCCCAGGGCTATTGCTGGCTATGCGCACAGGAGCTCACCTGGGGGTGTTCAGGGGATCACTGTGGTGCTGGGGATTGGACCAGGATTGGCCAGATGCTATGCAAGTGCCTTAACCCCTATACTCTCTCTCTCTCTCTGGCTCCTTAAAAGAAGAAAATTTGGGTATAAATATATATTTTTAGTGGAGCAAGATAGTTTTTATTTTTTTGGCTTTTTGGGTCACACCAGCAATGCTCAGGGGATCGATAATGGGACCATATGGGATCAAACCCAGGTTGGCTGCGTGCAAGGCAAATGTACCCTTCACTGTGCTATCCCTCTGGCCCTACAAGGTGATTTTTACTGAACAAAACTTACTTAGAACAAAGGAGAAATATTTCCTCTCTAGAGTGGGGGAAAAAAAAAAACTAAGACGCACTGACACAAGTAAGCAAGATGTGTACATATTCAAGGGAGAATATGGGCTTGAAGGAGAAAGGATAAATGCATTTTATTATTGGAATCAGGGATTTGTTTCTGACCTCTGCATACTTTCTCGTACTGTTGAATAGCTTCTTCTGCTTTTTGGTTATTTAACTGCTCCTGAAAAATGAAGCAACATGAATTAAATTAAAATATAACTTAAAACACACAGAAATACTTAACAATGGGACTTTCACTTTGGTAAAAAGGGAGAATGGGAAGTGTAATGGGAAGAAACCCGTTATACTTTATGGATAGGAGACAACTCAGGGCTGAGCATATGCTTTGCATGCAGGAGGTCCACACCACTCTGATACCATATAGGGGATTGCCAGTGATCAAACCAGGTTTGCCGCATTCAAGCCAAGTGCCCTAATGCTATACTACTATTGCAGCCCACAAGACAGTTTTTATTGAAACTTATTTAGAAAGATGTGAGGGGAGGAAAAGCGGTGTGTTTTTAGAATACAGCTTCCCCAGATGGGAAACAAGGAAGCAAAGAGGCAGAGATGTGTTTCAGGGCGAACACGGGCTTAAAGAGCAAGCCAACAGAATCTTTTCAAGCCATTCTTAAAAGCAAAATTTACCATAAGTTGCTGAATGGTTCGCTGTTTCATATCTATTTCCTGGGAACCCTGGTTTTTCTTTTTCTCCAGTTCATTAATTTTAACCCTCATTAATTTCTCTTCATCACCTATTACAGATACCTAGAAAGTAAGATTTATAAGAGATTAAATATTTTTATTATGAACAAAAATATTCATTATAAAAATTAATAAATGCAACAAATAGAACTTTTGCAGTAGGGTTTTTCCCTCTTGGGGTACACCCTGCTCAGGGCTTACTCCTGGTTCTGTGCTGAGCAATCAATCCTGGCAGGCTCTGGAGGCCCTATGGGATGCCAGAGATCAAATCCAGACTGGCCACATACAAAGCAAATGCCCTTCCCACTGTACTCTCTGTACAGCCCTGGCAACAAGTACTTTTATTTTTATATTGGCTTCCTCTACTGTTTTATCTAGATCGTCATCAGTTAGTTCAGTTTCCATACTTGGCTTTTCTTCATTTTTTTCTAGATCTTCAACCAAATCTTCATCTTCCAAGTATTAAATGTAAAAAGATCCACTATTGCATGGGAAAGTAACCTAGAAGGTCCCATGCAATAGTGGATCTTTTTACATTTAATACTTTATTTTCTGAATTATTAATGTCTAGTGATACATCTTGGGAAGATCTGATAGATCCAAAAGATTTCTCTTGAGAGGAATTTAAAGACTCTGGAACACAAACCTGTCAAAAATTCAAAGGTGATTTTTAATAAATGGAAAGAATTGTCCACTAATAATTAAAAATTTTAAGTAAAATGACATGTTGATTGCCTTAAAAAACCCACAGAACACATAAGGATCAACCCTTGAGAAGGGCAACTAAAAAAAGTGAACTACACATGCAAAGTTATGCTCAGAAACATGTACTTTCTTCAGTTAAGTTCTCATCCTAACAGGATCTCCTAATTTATTACTAAATGAACCAGAGAGATGGCTAAGTTGAAAATTAGTGTAAGAATATCCATCAATGGTCCCCTGCAGGTATTGCGTTTGCCTTGCACGCATCCATCCCGGGTTCGATTCCCAGCATCCCATATGGTCCCCCAAGCACCGCCAGGAGTAATTCCTGAGTGCAAAGCCAGGAATGACCCCTGAGCGTTGCTGGATGTGACCCAAAAAGCAAAACAAACAACAACAAAAATTTCAATAATTTCCTAGGTTTACAATTAAAAGAACAATTTCTTTTTATTACCTATGCAAAGAAAAACACAATGATATTCTATTAAGTTCTATGGAAACTTGAATATATTTACCTTTTGTGCAATGGCTGAGAACTTCAACACATTGAGTGTTTCATAATAGGCAAAACAGCACTGACTGATGTTGACAATCATAGATATTTTCTCTTTACCATTAAAAAAGCTTTGAAAATAGTGAGTCAGTTTACTTTCCCTAAAAGGCACGTGTTGAAACCTATGAAAAAAAAGTTTCACAAGAACTTTAAGTTAAAACAAATCAAGTGAGGGGCCGGAGTGATGGTACAGCAGGTAGGGCATTTGCCTTGCATGCAGTCGACCTGGGTTCAACCCCCGGCATCCCATATGGTCCCCTAAAGCACCACCAGGAGTAATTCCTGACTGTAGAGCCAGGAGTAACCCCTGTGCATTGCCAGGGGTCACACACACACACACACACACACACACACACACACACACACACCAAAACATACTCTAGCGAAGTCAAGATTCTAATAAATTTTACAGGGAAGTAATTAATCTATTATAGATTTAAATTCTAGACTAGAAATTAGTTACTCATGTAATAATAATTTTTTGCTTACTTATATTTTTAAAAAACTACCACCACAATTAACCCACTAGGCAGAATGTTAAAAAAAAAATACCAAACTGGGTTGTGTTCAGCAATGTAGAGCAATTTTATATATATATAATACATATCATTAAACACTTAGAAACAGGCCAGAGAGGTGGCTCAGGGGCCTAGAGCTCATGCCTTGTGGGCAGAACAGATTGAATCACTTGCACTATATGTTTCCCTGAGCACAAGACTGGTGTAATCCTCAAGCACAGCTGAGTGTAGTCCAAAAACCAAAAACCGTAACTACTAGTGATGAAGACTAATTCATAATTTACTCAACCTAAAATGCTTAGGCAGAAATCAATCACATCTAGAGCATAATTATAATGAACAAACCAGCACCGTGAAAAGCTTATTAGCTACTGACATGTATTTTCTACGAAAACCTTTATTTACTTGGCAAATCACTAACATTGAGACTGTGTTTCCTTTATTCTTCTCCTTTTTTTTTGATTTTGGGCCATACCCATTGATTCTCAGGTTACTTCTGGCTCTATGCTCAGGAATCACCCCTATCGATGTTAGGGGATACGTGATGCGGAGGATCAACCAGGTTGACTGCGTGAAAGGCAAGTGCCCAACCAGCTGTACATCTCTCTGGCTCTTGTGTTTTATTTCAATCATTTAAAAAAAAGCAATCATAAGCCATTGTCATTACATAAAAAACAAAACAGGTTAAGAAAAAAAACTTTCTGGGTTGGGGAGATAGCTCAAAGGGATAATGCATGTTCTGCATGTCCGGGCCCCAGTTTCCATCTACTACTTGGTTCCGAGTAGTGCTTGAAGCTGGCAATGCTGGAAGTAGTCTCCAGCACTACCAGGTGTGACCTCCCATGTGAGCCCTCCACAACGGAAAAAGAACTTCTTAAAAGCTTAAGTATTTTAATACTAAATATGCTAGTAACACTTATAACACTTACTTTGACTTTTCACTATTTTTCAAAGCATTAATACACTTTCCCAGAGCCAATAAAGAAGTGTTGATGTTCCCAGTTTCTCTTAACCTTTCACCTTCATTTTGTGTCTTCATGCTTCTTTTTGAACCAGCAAGTTCACTCAATGACAGTCTGAGTGAACCAAAAAGAAAGTTAAATAACAAAAATAACTTTAAAGGCTTTTCAAACAGAACAACTCAAAATAATAAGAATTTAAAGTATGACCAACTTACTCACTGACTTGTGTTACATGAGGCATCTCAGAATCTTTGATCTGCAATATTCGTATAGTAAATATGCTGTGACTAAAAGAAAGATAAAATGTTATCTTTTATTCGTAATTTTGGCATTAAAATATTCTAGGAGGCAATTAACTAAATAAGAAATCTATTTATGTCCTGATACGAGTCATGGTTCCAGTAGTATATTTTCTAACTAGCTGCCAGAGAGCTCACTTCAGTACTTGGGTGTCACCTATACATCCACCCGTATAAAATGAAATCTTTCATTTCACTTAGCCCACATGCCTTAAACTGAGTAACAATAAAATCTCAATTTGCTTGCAAAAGATCATACTCTTAGTTTAAATGGTATTTATTATACACAGTTCTCTTAGAATTATGCCATTTGACCTATATATATGCTTGTCTGGATTATATATCCTCACGATGTACTGAGAAAAGGACAGGATTATTTACATCTTAAGGGAAATCTGTTTGAAGTATCTCATTGCTGAAACTTGTTTTAACTTTGTCTCACATTCTAACTCCTTCCCTCTTCCCTTAACCTCAAGATCTGGGCAAACCCAGGTTGCAGAAAAGCTATGTTCATGGGATAACGCAAAAAAAAAATCACCAATACTTGCAACTCTGAAAGGAATAAGCTTAGATATTAACATAAAGAAAAGCACCTGGGAGACAAATTAGTAAATCCAAGAATAAATGTTCCTGAGAAGTTTTATTTTTAGAGTGCACTTCATGTTACAGTATTCTGCACGTCTGTGAAAAAACTTAACAGCAGATAACCTCCTACTTACTTTAATCTTAATTAGTTTTATTTAAATTAGCATAGAATAGTCTAGGTGCTTTGGGTTTATGCCAAAGGATGCCTTATTTACCTTCTACTTGAAGCACTGTTCAGTTTAGTAAAGGCAACACTCCGATTCTTTATTCCTAGTTTTAAAAGTTTGTATGCTTCTTTGGAATCACACACTTGAATCCAATGTAGATCTTGATAAAATAAAGAAGGTACAGATAAAAAACACACAGCATTTGTCATATAACATAAAGTCATATAAATATATGCCCTAGAGGTAGAATCAACTCAGCTTTTCACTATTTTATTAGAAGGTATAGAAAAGGAAGACATAATGTCACAGACATCAAGTTAAAGTTTTTTTTTAAATTTTTATTAGTGAGACATCATGAGGTACAGTTGTAGACTTACAAACTTTTGTGCTTGGGTTTCAATTAAACAATGATCAAATACCCATCCCTCCACCAGTGTCCATTTCCCACCACCACGGATCCCAGTATCCCTCCCACTCCCATCCCCTCCATCCCAACCTGCCTCTGTGGCAGGGCATTTCCTTTTGTTCTCTCTCTCTTATTGGGTGTTGTGGTTTGCAAAAGAAGCAATGGGTGACAAAGTTAAAGTTCTTATATAGTCTGACAAACAGAAAATCTTTTCCTTAGAAGTAGAATCCAGAACATAAAAGAAAAATACAGTATAGTTTAAGCCTATAGCAGTGAGACAATGCAGATTAAAATTAAGTAGTCATAAAACAAAATTTACTCAGTCATAATCAGTATTATGTAAAATTAAGTTAAAAAAAGGTGGGGCTGGAGAGACAGCTGATGTGACAAAGAGCACAGGGCTTAAGCTCTAGCACCACCTGGTCCTTCAAGCACTACAGAGTGACTCCTGAGCACTAGGCTGGGAGCAGTCCTTGAGCACTGCCCAGTATTGCCCCCAAATCAAAATTATTATATTACTACAAAGGTTATACTTTATAGTAAATAAAATCTGAGGCATAAATATACATGCATGTATTAGTGTGCATATTTATATAGATATGCAGGTACTAAGTCACGACAGTATTGATACGTAGGTATTGACACTGTGAGTAGGATTTTCTATCACCTCTCCTTCTCTCCCTCTCTCTAAGAGCCAAACCCAGGGTCTCACTATCAAAACATACACTCGACCCCTGCTCTGAAAACAGGTCACTTTATTTTTCTTTTTGTTTTGGGGCCATACCAGAGATGCTGAGGGCCTACTCCTGGCTCTGTGCTGGAGTAGGTGGGTCTCTGTCCTCCGGGTGGGTGCTGGGACCACATGGGCCTCCTAGAATTGAACCCAGGTGGGCTGCATGCAAGGCAACCTACTATACTATCATTTTGGCCCCTATATAAGCATTTAAAATGGCCTGTTCAGGGGCTGGAGCAGGTTGGGAGAATAGCATTTCGGTAGTTGTAAATTTGGACACTGTTATAGGGCAGAATAATATGAAAACTCACAGCTTTTCCTACTTGTGAATCCAATTAGGGATATTTGGCAACGCTATGGCAACACTCAAGTAGAGCCCTTTATATTCAGGTTTAATTAACATACTTCCTAAACACAATCTTTTTATCTTGAATTTTAAAAGAATAAAATAATTTCAATTTCTGGTTTGATTTTTTTTGAGAGGGATCATTATGATTGGGGTTACTAATGCGCTGCACTCAGGAATAACTATTGGCAGTGCTTGGGGGACCATATGGGGATGTCAGGGATCAAACTCAGGTTAGCTGCATGCAAGGCAAATTCCTTACCCGCTGTACTATCGATCTATTCCTTGGTTTGATTTCTTATAGCTTTAACAAAATCTAGAAAGGAACTTTGAATCAATAAATAAAATAAAAAGTACTCATTACTATACCTTTTATAAAAGAATAGCCCTTTACATCCTGAGAAAGGCGTAGCATATTTCTCTTTAGGAGCTTAGAAGATACAGGAACAAACAAGTCATAAATATATTCATTGTAAATCTCAAAGAAAGAAATCCAAATAGAAAACTTTATGCTATCATCCATGTTCAAGCAGGACTGTTCACAATCTTTCATAAATTCTTCAAACTCTGAAGTACTCAAAGAGTTCGTCGAACTCCCTACAAAAAATTTTAAAAAGGATAATCACAACAATTCAGCAACTCATTAAAAACAAGGTAACAGGATAGAACAAGCCTCCTAGACTTGAAAACTAAGTATTCTTAATCATTTAACAGCAGCTCATAGATTTCAGATGAAACAGACATCTGTTTGTCAACCAAAGTTTGGCTTATCTTTCTTTTCCTTTTGGAAATATTCTAATGAACCAAACTGAAACCAAAGTCAAAGGACAAAGAAAAAAAATTGTCTTGTGAATTTAAGATATTTGAACTAGTAAAGGGCTATTTATGTTCTAAATAAAACTTTAGATTGACATTTCATACTAAGTATCATTTTCTAGATTTGTACTGTCACTAAAGAAATTAAATCAATAGGAATGATTAAAATTTAAAAGCTTTTCATGTATTTCTTCAGACAATACACATTTTAAAGATTAGTGAAAAAGGACACCTTACCATGAAGAGCATCATAACTGTCATGATGCATAGCAGCCTGAAAATAAAAGATTAAAAAACTTTAAAACCATGTTAAGATAGTTGATCTACTAAATTTTCCAGCCAATTAAAAAAATACATTCTCAGGCCAGAGAAATAATATAGGGGTTACAGAATGTACTTTGCGTTCTGCCAACACTGGTTCTCATTCTGGGCACCAAATAGGGTCTCCTGAGTATTGCTAGGAGTTACTCTTGCACACAGAGCCTTGGAAAGTCCTTGAGCACTGCGGGCTGTGGCCCAAGTCACTCCCAACCCCTCATAAAGGGAAAGCTGGAGAGACAGTACAGGAGATATGGCCAAAGCATCTCCTACTCCTCCCCCCCTCAAAAAAAGGGGGGGGGTCTGGAGAGATAGGACAGGACTAGGCACTTAGCCTTCCATACTGTTGCAGCAAAAAGTACTAAATTACTGGTTTGAATTTTTGATACTATTCTTGTGGTCCCCCGAGTAACACTTCTGAGCAGAGCCCAGAATAGCCTCTGAGTAACAGTGGCTATGATCCCCACCTCCTAGAAAAGGGATCCAGGGATAGTGCATTGGGTAAGGTGCCTGCCTTGCATGCAATTATTGGCACCCCATATGGTTCTGAGTGATCCCAGGAGTAAGCCCTGACTGCAGTTGGTAAGGGCCAGAAAACAAAGCAAAACAAAACTAAAAACCACCCAAAAATACAAACAAAAAAAGAAAATCTCTATCAATCCCAAGGCAAGTGTCCAACCCACTGTACTATCTATCGCCCTGGCCCTATAGAAAATATTCTGTTAAAGACTTTTACAAAACTAGATACATGGGGGCCGGAGAGGTAGTAGAGCAGAGAGAGCGCATGCCTTGTATACAGCCAACATGGGTTTGACTCCAAACATTTTATATGGTCCCCAGAACACCTCCAGGAGTAACTCCTAAGTGCAGAATCAGGCGTAACCCTTAAGCATCACTGGGTATGCCCCCCCCCAACCAAAAAAAAATAAATAAAACACAAAAATACATACAAAAACTTTTTTTTAAGTTCTTTCTGTATAATATGAATAGTTTCTAGTCTGGTAACTTTGTTCTTTAGGAAGAGAAATGTTCACTTTATATTTTACACATTCCCTATATTTTTTATATACAAATTACTTCTACAATTAAGAAGTAATTTTAAGGGCACCAGAGCGATAGTACAGTGGGTAGGACGTTTGCCTTGTATATAGCTGACCTGGGTTTGATCCCCAGCATCCCATATGGTCCTCTGAGCACTACCAGGAGTAATTCCTGAATGCAGAACCAGAAGTTAACCCTGAGCATGAATGGGTGTAGTCCAAAAACCAAACCAAACAACAAAACCTGCCCCCCCCAAAAGCCCCGATTACCATCATACATTCCACTATAGGCTAAAACAAATGATGGAACTTCAAAAATGCTATAATGTGTATTTTATATACTAAGACAACTCCAAATCTCTTTAATTTGCCGAAGCAATGCACTTTTGCTAGTAACTTCTTCTTTCTCTTGATCTGGTGACAACTGTAAATATTCTCTGGCAATATGTGGTTTAAGATTCATTTTCGTATATAGTCTTCCCCGAAGAGTGTCAAATAGTACATTCAAAGTCCGAGGCAGGATGCCAACATTCTGTTTCGTGCCTGTGGAAAGAATTTTTGTCTTGTTTTCTCTCAGCGTACTGTTAAGGAAAAGAATTTCTGCACTATCGGGGTTCCTTTTATGTCACCAATAGGTACAGTAGCACTGTCCTTCCGCTGTTCATCAATTTGCTCGAGTGGGCCCAGTAATGTCTCCATTGTGAGACTTGTTACTGTGTTTGGCATATCGAATATGTCATGGGGAGCTTGTCGGGCTTTGCCCTGTGGGCGAGATACTCTCGGTAGCTTGCCGAGCTCTCCGAGAGGGGCAGAGGAATCAAACCCAGCTTCGCCGGGCCGGCTGCGCACAAGGCAAATGCCCTACCGCTGTGCTCCAGTCCAATAGCCAAAAAAAAAAAAAAAAAAAAAAAAAAAACCAAAACCCTACAGCAAAAGCAAGGAGTTAAAGGATTACTAATTTTTCTTTCACTCTGGTCTCTGTTGTACAATCAACACTTTTAAAACTATTATTCTGATACAAAACCTGAAATTTTACATTCAGAGCAAGACTTAAAAAGTGCAACCACTCATAATTATAAAATATAAAATGTTTTTGCTTCTTTGCTCTGCTTAATTCACTATGTTGTATCAATCCTTTTACTGGTTTCTGCTTTTGATTTTTTTTCTGGTTTGGAAGTGTTTACCCGCTGTATAACACAGCAAGTAGGGTGTTTGCCTTGCACACTGCAGACCTGGGTTCGATTTCTCCTCCCGTCTCAGAGAGCTCGGCAAGCTACCGAGGGTATCTCGCCCGCATGGCAAAGCCTGGAAAGCTACCTGTGACGTATTCGATATGCCAAAAACAGTACCAACAAGTCTCACAATTTGTTGTGAGATGTTACTGGTGCCCGCTGGAGCAAATCAACGAACAACGGGAGGACAGTGTGACAGTGCTTGGAGGTGTTTAGGGTTTACTTCTGACACTGTGCTCAGGGATTACTCCTGGTGGTATTTAGAGGGATTTTATGTAGCGCTGAACTTCAAGTACTGTAAATCAAGTGTCTTACTGGCGTTACTACCTCTCTAGTTCCCTATTTTTAGTATTATCTACGTCTCTTTTTGGTTTTTTTTCAGGGCACACCCAGTCCTGACTTTGTTCTAAGAGATCATTCCTGGAGGTGCTCAAGAGATACAATCAGAGTCAGCTAAATGCTAGATAAGCAAGCACCTTATCTCTCTTCAACTCCCCTCATCATCAAACTCTTTCATATAGGTAGTTGTACTAATTAAAAAAAATCAAACTGGGGGCTGGAGCAACAGTACAGCGGGCAGGGCATTCGCCTTGCATGTGGCTGACCCAGGTTCGATTCCCAGCATCCCATATGGTCCCCCGAGCACCACCAGGAGTGATTCCTGAGTGCAAATCCAGGAGTAACTCCTGAGCATTGCTGGGTGTGAAACCCCCCAAAAAAACCCCAAAAACCCAAACTGAATTAAAAGTCACTAGCAATACATATTCAATATACTTAAAAATGGAATATGCTAGATAGTGAAAATATAATTTATAAACAAGTATATAAAAATCTGTATTGGTTCTTCTTTATTCTTTCCTGAATAAATAAAACAATTACCCTGAAAAGTATATGTTTTACCAGAATTTGTTAGCCCATAAGTAAAAATCAGCCAACTTTCTCCTTTCAAGAGGTCTTTTATTTGCTGCAGAGTACAATCTCGGAAGAATTCCTTCTGTGTAGTTTCTGGGCCAAAAACCTAAAAAAAAATTTAAAAAGAAGACCTTTAAAGAAAATTTCAGGACTCACAAATGAATCTTAGAAAAGAGCAGCATGCTGCAGAGATAGATATCTCCCCACCACTCACCAGGCTGATTCCACCGGGCACATAGGAGGGGGGCAGGTGTGTCCATGTGCCTGCCCCAGATGAACCCGAGCAGCCTCAAACCTCCAGAACCCAATCCCCGCCACGCTCACAGCCGACCTTCACAGGTTCTTCCAGAGTGAGCTCCCTTTGCATGAGAATGAATCTGCTAATACCCAGGAATGCAGGAACTGTGACTGAAACCCCAGGCTTCATGAAGTCAGGAATGGGCAACCCCCCCCATATCCCTGCCCTTCTGGTTTCCTGGAAGGCACCACAGAGATGCCTCTGAATCCCAAATATTTAAAATTTTAGAATTCTAGGAGCACGAGGCCACTTTCGTGGCCATGCAACATCTCATACTATTCACAACAAGCAATACAAAATAAATTAAATTTAGCATCTGCCTGTGTGGCAGGCTTTGGTATTAGTGGGAAAATTCAAATAATGGGGGTGAGATTGGAGTTGAAATACTGAATGTAATCAATTATTGTGAATAGCTTTATGAAGATAAAAAATTTAAAAATTTAAAAAATAAAGAAAAATTTAATAGTTACTATTAACAATGGATTCCTCCCCATCCGTCACTCATACTTCAAAAATTAAAATAATTTGTTTTAGAAGATTCATTCTTAATATAGTACCGCATTCCTAACTCTTACAAATATACTTGATAAAATTGTTTAAGGACCACACACTGATTTGTTCACTACTATTATACATGTATTAAATTTGGCATTTGAGTCCTAGACTTGAGAAAAAAAGTACTGGTGCTTAAGATCTAAGTTCCACAACCACATAATACACACACACACAGAGCAGTCTATATACACAATTTTGTAATAAATCTGCCAAAGTTTCCCTCTACTAAAAGAAGACTTTTCAAGTTCACATTTTCCAGTGTACCTACCTTAGAGAAACTGAATTTCTGTGCCATCTGCGTAGAACTTTTCTCACTTAACCTACCAGGGATGCTTTGAGGATCTTTCAGCATAATAGTCTGGGAGTCTAAACTATAAGCACAACCTTAAATAGAACACAACACGTACAATTAAACATAACAAATAAATGAAAATAATGGTATTTTGTCCATTCAATACAAAAAGTAAAAGAATAAACCCCAAGCAAACTCAACACAAACCTGAGTCTCTTGTTCTTTTTCTGATTGTGTGAATGGTCTCACTCGAAGATAAACTTGGAGATAATCTATGGGTTCCAAACTGCTTGTCTTAAAAAAAAGGGAGCAAGATAACTTTATTTTAAAGATACAAAATAGGGCTTTTCATAGGTCATCTTTCTTTAAAGTGGGCTGTAAAGGCATTATAGAGGGATAAGGCACTTGCCTGCATGTGACTAACCCTTTTTCAATCTCTGGCACCACAATCCCATATTCCTAATTTGGAAAATGAATGGGTGGGGGAGGAGTAGAAGTGGGTAGTAAGAGACACTCATAACAGGATCTATAAAAAGTGACTAGATCTATTAAGTGGAACACCTTTTCCTCCCCAGATGTCTAAAGATACACCACCTGATGTATCTGTTGAATGTAATCAATTATTGTGAATAGCTTTATGAAAATAAAATTTAAAAATTTAAAAAATAAAAAAATTTATAGTTACTATTAACAATGAACACATCAACAGTACTGTAAATCATGGTATCTCAATTGGGAGTAAACCATGAAAAAGTTACTAAAATGGAAGGTTGCCTCAAATCTACAGATTTTTTACTGTTATTTTTTGGGGAACGGTGGTGCTCAGGGGCTACATTCTGGTTTGTACTCTGGTGGTGCTTTGTGACCATGTCAGACCAGAGTTTAATCCAATTTTCCTGCATGCAAACGATGCATTCAGTCTTCTGAGCTACCTCTCCGACCCAAAATCCAGCCAGAAAAGCTCTATTCTAGATCTACCATATTTCCATGCAGACACACATTTCCACTCAACTAAGATACTCAAAACAGTGCTTTTCTTGTACTCACCTCATTGTTCGAAGCAACTAAGGAAAATTCATGTGAGAGATCAAGCTTAATGGCATCAAAATTTTTTTCTGAAGGTCTTACCTCTGGGTCAGCACTAATAACATCAGATAGTCCAGGCAATTCATCTTGATTTAAATTGGACGCCATCCTGCAAGAGTAACAACCGTGTTAGTCAACTTTATTTATTTTTTGGTCACACCTGGCGATGCTCAGGGGTTACTCCTGGCTCTGCACTTAGGAATTACTCCTGAGTGCAGAGCCAGGAGTGCTTGGGGAACCATATGGGATGCTGGGAAATGAACCTGGGTCTGGCTGTGTGCAAAGCAAACGCCCTACCCACTGTACTATCACTCCAGTCCCTTGTTGGACAACTTTAAACCAACATGTATGCCACAATAATTTTGAAAGTCTGACTTGAGCAACCACTGCAAATGATATTCTAATGACATGCTGAACATTGGTGTGTTTTCGGAAGGCCAGCGGCACTCTATCTCTCCCGCCGCCCATGTTCGGTAGCTCGAGCCATTTCCCCTACCCCAGGGAGGTCGATGGCGATGGGCACGCGAGGGAACGAACCAGGGCCACACTGGCCGGTCGTATTAATTGTCGTTTTTTTCCAATCTTCACCCACCCCTCTCTCTCTTCTCTCTCTCAAGCCTAAGCCCCTCTCACCTCTGACTCTTTCCTCTGGGGCCCAGCCTCCTCCTCAGCCTGAGCTTTCTCCCGCCTGCCTGCACCTTCTAACCCCCCCTCCCCAGCTTACAGTCTTAGTTTATATAGCAATCATATGGGGTCGTGACACAAAGGTGGGTTGAACATTAACAAATCAGCAAAGGGAGGTAAGACCACTCCTCGAGGTGATTAACTCACAGATAAAATCTCATCTAAAGAGATTATTCCAGATTACTAGGAGATCTGCTCAAAGGTGGGATCCCAACAAGGGTGTGTTCTTTCCTCAGCTAGTACTTTCAATATTTCTAGCAATATCATTCTGTATGAACACAGTAAGAGATATAAACTTACAGTTTGGTTCTTCCTGAGGACATCTCACCATATATTCCGCAGTCCTCAGGCCAGGTTAGTCTTCCTAGCCCCAGCAGGGTCCTATTCTCGTCATTACTTACTTTTGGATCATGACAGCATTTGTCCATAATCATGCCCTCAACTTATCTCACAACTTGCCCTGGGTCCCTCGTCAGGACCCTGCTTTAGGGATGCTAGAAACTAAGGGAAACTGAGTATTATTCGGAGTCAATTAACTCCCAAGTTACAAAGCATAATATTAAATGTCTTCCTGTGTCCATACCAAAAGGACATTGCTTTAAGGTAAATTATAGGAAAGACATAATTTACAATACGAGTTCAGTGTCCTTAGAAGGATCTGATCTTACAAGCTAACATAATCTGATTAGGGAGAAAAGGTGATCAACTGGCTAGGGAGGAGAGCACAGAGAAGAGTTTACAGATAAACAGAGGAAAGGGAGTGATTTAGGAGCACTGTGATGGGTGCTACTTGTGGCAATGGAGAAAGGACAAGCCAAAGTTATCTTACAAACATTGTTTATAATTTTGATAGAAAAAAGCAATCTCCATGTGTCATGCTGAACAAAGGATGTTTTTGAAGATCTGCTTTTTTTCTAATGTCATTTTCCATAAGTCAAAGTCTTTAAGAGCCTCCTGGAAACTTTGAGTGAAGAAGTACTGTTACTAGATCTTCAAAGGAAAACACAAGACGACTGATCTATAATGACCCATGGAAAAAGCAAAAGGTTAACTAATTTACAGATTTTAAGTCATATAATAACACCTACTAGTATTATTTATATAATCTAATCTCTACATGTAAATTCATCTAGAGATTTAATGAATAATCTGTCAACAGAGGAAAACTCCGAATCCCTGCATGCATGTCTCAAACATGGAGGTGGAAAATTCTCTTTAAATGAAATAGAAAGAAGATGGTTAAGAAAATTACGACACTGGTCCTTCACGTCCTACCGAGGTTATGAGTTGTCCCCCACAAGCGGCTCTCTGGCACGGCCATGGCTCCAGAGGCAAAAGGACTTAATCCAGAGCCTGGAAGCTTGTGGCAGAAAAGTGAATGGACCATGCGTTAAATTACAGGCTCCATGCTCCCCCAGGAGGGAAAGGGTGTTGCTCCCTTCCACCCCCCCCCTCCCAGCAGCAAGGTGTCTGCTACCTCAGAGTGTATTGGAAAGCCAGGTATGAGCTGGCAGTGATGGGGCAACTGCAGTCTCATGGGAAGGGGGACAGTACCGGCACGTCCTTCACGCCCTACTGAGCTCATGAGTTACCTCCCACGAGCGGTTCTCTGGCATGGCCATAACACTGGACACACAGAAACCAATCTCATAATTATCTGGCTCCTTAAAGAAATCCAAAATTGTGGCCGCGTGATTATATGATTATATGATTCTCATAACCAGCTATAGAAAACAAAGTATTTCACAATGCCTTTTCAGCAATTCTGATTGGGTGGAAATTTTAAACAATAATGGTGCATCTTTTGTCGAAATAATGAATGTAATCAATGTAGAGAAGAATTAAGTAGAAATCATCTGACTCACAGGCATTTGGAGGGTTGGGAGGGGGGTATACTGCGGTTCTTGGTGGTGAAAAATGAGTACTGGTGAAGGGAAAGGTGTTTAATCATTGTATGACTGAGACTTAAGCCTGAAAGCTTAGTAACTTTTCCCATAGTGATTCAATAAATAAATATAAAGAAAAAATAAATAAAATAATTAAGGTGGAGTTCATGCCACCTACTTCCACTACCCAGCCATCGCCACACTCCAGGACGCTTTCCGGACCCACGCGGCAGCTCCGGCCGAGACCCACGCACAACTGAAGACCCACAGAACAAGGTAAGTGGAACTCTCTGAGACCTTGGACTCCAGGCTTGGCGGACCCAGGGACAGAGCTTCTCTGCTTGCTCCCACCACCACAGGTGACAAAGGGATTCTAATCAGGAGCCCCACCCTACCCTGCCCTGTCTGCTTCCATCAACCATCCAGGGATCGAATTGTGCACAGGAGACCCACCCTACCCAGATAAATACCCCACTGGCAGATTTCCACTCTCGACACTACTTCCACTACCCAGCCGTCGCCACACTCCAGGACGCTTTCCAGACCCGCGCGGCCGCAAGCGGCCGCGCGACACATCATAATACACTAAATACCCATCTTCTGGAATTGTCGTACCATATTTGATAGGGTTCAAATATGGTAACACCTACAAGGGTGATTAGAGGCCACCCCAAAAGCCTCTATACCTCTCGGAAAGACTGGCAAGCTACCGAGAGTATTCCGCCCGCACGGAAGAGCCTGGCAAGCTATCCGCTGTGTATTCGATATGCCAAAACCAGTAACTACAACTGGTCTCATTCACCTGACCCTGAAGGCTTCACCGACATGGCAGCACTGAGAAGGATGAGAAAGGAGAGGCCGACAAAATCTCAAGGCCGACCTAGGCTGCCACAATGAAGGAAGACAAAAATGATCGTCTGTACTTTCAATGCACGTACGCTAGCATTCAGATGCATCCATCGAGAACCTGATGGTACAAGCGCGAATGATCAAGTACGACATCATTGGTCTGACCGAGACAAGAAGGCACGAATCTCACCATGCTGTTTTCGACACCGGAGAAGAATTGTTCCTCGGAACATGCGATAAAAGAGGTGTTGGAGGCGTCGGTGTCCTTGTCAACACAAACTTGGCCAAGAGCATTGATTCATTCGAATGCCTAACAACCCAAATCGGACGTTTACATTTGAATAGATGTGGCTCACTGCCTGCAGTTTCTATCTTCGTTGTCTACGCACCAACATCTCATTATGATGAAAGAGAAATCGAGAAGTTCTACATGGAGCTAGAGAAGTTCTATAAAGAAGACCACACCTTCTACAAGATCATTGTGGGTGATTTTAATGCCAAGATAGGACCGAGAAGATCAGCTGAAGAACTTCACATCGGGACCCATGGCCTAGAATGGAACGAACAGGGTGAGAGACTGTCTGAGTTCATCATGTCGACCAAGACCATTCATGGTAACTCACAGTTCCAGAAGGCAGAATCTAAACGATGGACATGGGAGTCTCCCGGTGGACGATTCCACAACGAAATAGATCACATCATATTCAATCGACGGTTTTGCCTGACTGATGTCGCTGTTGTCCCAAAATTTCGAACGGGATCGGACCACCGTCTCCTTCGTGCAAAATTCTACTTCACAGAGCGGGGAGAAAGGGCTGCAAAGTTCAAAAAGAGAACTCCCAGAATGACCACCAACTGGGAACTCTTTGGTACTATTGCGGCAACATGGGAAGATGCCATTGTTGACAACATTGACGAGGAATACGATCGACTGGTTCAGCACCTCCATGAATGTGCGAGGAACGCCAAGAGAGAGATAGCCACAAAAAGTCGCCTATCTTCGAAAACTCTTGAGCTAATTCACCAGCGTGGTTTGGCGCATGCCTCAGGCAACCGCAAGCTAACGTCCGAGCTTGCAAAGCAGTGCAGAGATGCGATCAAGGAAGACCTCAAAGAGAGAAGAGCAGAAGTACTGATAGATGCGGCAGAAGCCGGGAAAAGTATTCGTAACGCCCGCCTGTCCTTCGCCAACTATAAGACCAAGATGACTGCCCTCCGATGTCCTGATGGATCCATCACATCCTCCAGAACGGCAATGGAGAAGATTATCTATGACTTCTACTCAAATCTCTTCGATAGCCATGTCCACTTGCCGACATACCAAATACCACAGGATGGGTATGTCATTCCTAACGTTCTCCCTTCCGAAATCCGACACGCCATTTCGTTGGTAAAGAAGCAAACAGCACCCGGCCCAGACAAGGTCAGACCTGAACACCTGAAGAACCTGCCGTCAGTACTCATCAATACACTGGCTCGGCTCTTCACTCGCTACCTGTCTGAATGCAAGGTTCCGTCCCAATGGAAAACCAGCAGGACAATACTACTGTTCAAGAAGGGAGACATCCATGACATTGGCAACTATCGCCAGATCTGCCTATTGTCTGTCATCTACAAGCTGTTCACTCGAGTCATCCTGAATAGGATTGGCAGAACACTAGATGAAGGACAACCATGCGAGCAAGCAGG